CACCAAAAACAGGGGTATTTTTAAATCTGTCAGTCAAGCTGGTGCTTGAGGGGAAAGGGTACCCTATGTGGTCTCCAAAGGGTTATTTATCAGGTCAGGTGCCCTGTGGGCAGCAGAGCCAAGCTCTGGGTACCTCTGCAGCACTGGGAGGGCTCTGCTTTACCCCAGCAGAGAGGGAAGGGGAGAAGAGTCACACTGGCTGCAGAAAGGTACTTTGGGGAGGGCAGCCGTCCGGTGTCTGTGGGGACTGAGCACCCATTCCCACCTAAATGAAAACACAGAGCGGGCAGGTGCCACTGGTGGCCCTGGAAATCCCACCATCAGGTGCTGGGACTGGAAGCACTGGGCAGACGCGCAAGCCACACTGGGACACACGATCCCAAAGGAGGGCGCAGCCAGAAAAGTGCCTGGCTCACCCCAGCATCAGCTTCCTCATCTGCAGAGACTGTGTGGGCTGTTGAGGGCTCCTGGCCCTGCTGCCCACCGCGGTGGTGGAAGGGGGCAGCAGGGTTGCTCCCTCCCCAGATCTCTTTGGAGGGGGCAGCTGCTCTCCAGTCCCTGTAGAGAACCGATCGTTGCAGAAGAGCCCAGGTGGCCGCTTTCATCAGCACTGGTCTGTCTTTCCTTCCCTCTGCAGAAGCCCTCAGCTGTGGAAATGTCTGAGATGTCTGAGAGGTCCAAGCAGAATGTCGCTCATGGGCTTGCCTGGTCTTATTACATCGGGTACCTAAAAATAGTCCTGCCATGTACGTAGCTGTTTCCCTGCATTATCATGCCTACAGACAGAAATAGCTCCTCATAACAATCCTCCTACTTTTACGGTGTTAGCAGGGAAATGGGGAGCAAGTTAGAAAGCAGCTGTACTCACACCAGGCACCTCTGCCTGACGCTGTCTTCCACCAGGGTTGAAAAAGTCGATGGAGGAGTTCAGCAGAGCCAACCCCAATGTGCTGCCCTGCAGGGAGACCTGGAAGCTCCACATCTTGGTCCCTCTGAGCTGTGATGTCTATGATGACCTGGAGAAAGCTGACAGCAATATCCAGTACCTGACAGACCTCACCGAAACCACCCTGACCCGAGCTGGCACCAAAAAAAGGGTCTACAAACACAGCCTCTATGCAATCAGGGATGAAGACAATAAGGTATGCTGAGCGCAACGGTGGGAGAACAGTCGGCTTGCATCAGCCCTAAGGTCTTCCTGGCCTCAGAGCCTGACCCAGAAGCGGCCATAAGGGCAGGACGATGCCCCCTCTCCTATTAGATACTCCCAGCTTTCTGCAGGCGTCCGTGAGATGGAGAGGTCCTGTTCGAGCCGGCCATCTGCACCCCTTCCTCCTGGCTGCCTCCTCCCAGACTCAGCCCTTGCAGGGATGTTGAGCTCACTTAACCCCTCCTGGAGCTGATTTAAGTCCAGAAAACAGCAGAAAACTGAGCAGAAAAAAAAAAAAAAAAAAAAAAAAAAAGCAGATGTGGGGTACAGAGCATCACTTCCCTTGGGACAAATGAATATTTCTTTTTGTTGTGAAGAGGTACCTGAAAATGCTTGTGTGAATCATTAGATAACTTGACTCTCTCCCATTCCCCCAGTCACCTCTTTTCCAGGCTGGCGAGCCTTAAATCCCACCGTCTCACATCACGTTCATCTCCTTCCACATCTCTAGGCAGCTGGGCCTCTGCCCCTGCACCCTTGGAGGAGGGAACACACCAGTCCTGCGGATGCAGCTGTGGATGGAGGCGTCGGCAGAGCGATGCTTCTCACCTGGGTCCCCGTAATTTGCCCTTTGATGGTGGCTGAGCACTGAGCTGCCGCTTTTAAAGCCCTGTCTGCAGGGATTCCAGAGCCTCTTTCCTGGCCCTGCTCCTGGGGAAGTACAGTCGGCATCGGGGTTTTCCCGCTACGATGCAAACACTGATGCTGTGTTTCGTCTGCCGGTCTCCTGCTGAGTCACTCGGCGCCAAGTGAGCTCCAGCAGCTCTGCAGCCTGGACGTGGCCTGACCTGCTGCGTGTTGTCAGTAAAATCTGTCCCTCAGCTGGCTGCCCGGCAGCAAAGCTAGCGCCCATCCCTGCTCCGGCTCACTGGGGTGACTGCCTGCCCCAAGGCCGGTAGCTCTTCCTGCTACTCCGCATTTACCCGTCCCTCTTCCTGCTAACACACTTTATTAAACTTTCCAGTTTACCCAGTGTAAGACATACTGGTAACCCTGCTCCTCCTTGGAATCTCTCCTCGTTGGTTTGATCAGCCTCCTCCTAGCCGTGCATTCATCTTGCCAGCATTTATCCTCTCCTCCGTTCTCCTGCTCTCCGTTAGGATGCTCAGACTTCCCCTTGTCTGGCAGAAAAGCTGCCAAGAAGGCGTGATGGGACACAGGGAAGGGGTGTCTCCCGAGAGGACCAAACTCCACGAGGGAAATCACCCCCCAGGCTGTGGCTTGGGTGCACTGACAAAGCTGGTGGCTGCACCCTGGGGCCCCATGGGAGCGACGGAGGCCGCTCCCTGAGCCCCCCCAGCACACAGGGCATGGCTCTACCTGCCTACC